TACCATTTTATAATACTATTTTATCAATCTTTCAGTAAACTGTGACATGAAGGGTTAAAAAGAACAGGTTAGAATTGTATAACTAGGGAAATTTAAATTTTTTGAGTTAATTAAATTTTTCAAAAATGATACTAGAATCATTGAAACCGTAAATGTTGTCTATAAATGTAAATTTGACTTAAGAATTAAATTTAAATCGTTGAATATGTCAATAATTATTGACTTTAGATCCAATTTTTAAGTCTAAGACACCTAAAAGTTAACATTAAGATTTTATTAAATAAAAATTATAATTTCAATTTACAATTATTTTATTCCATAAACATTTTGTATTCAATTCAATAATAAATTTTTCAAATAAAAAATGAAGACTTTAATTTTACAGAAACAGGATTTTTCAGTTCTTGAGTGTTAAGGCTCTGTTTTATATATAAGAGTTAATAGAATTTATATTTTAGCCTAGAATTTTTATATTTTAAAAATATAAAGAAAAGAAAATATTCGCAAAATATTTTTTAAACATTAATTAAGTAATATTTTTATTCATATCATGAACACACTCAGAAAAAAATTTTTAAGTCATAAATAGGCTTGAACATGTAAAATAAAAATGAAATACACAAAAAAAATTTAAGGGCACAATTTTTATATTTTCAATTTTTTTTTATTCTAAAACAGGTCCTTTTACAAAAAGGAATTTTCGTAGTTTAAAATTCTTCTTTTTTTCCTTTTTTTTTTTAATTTTAACCAAAATATAAAGAACGTACACGTATAAATTTTATTACCGTGCTTGGAATATGAATTTTTTTGTTTGGAATTTTAATGAGATGAATCCATGAGTTTTTCTTTATTTAAGGGTATTTTAAATTTAGTTGATGATATACACACAGAAAAAAAAAACAAATACATATAAAATTTAACACTATCCCATACTTATGCAAACAAAATAAAAACTTAAAAAATATTCTCTTTTTAGCTTGTTTAACAGCGGACGTTTCTCTTGTATAAATATAAGAAATTTCAAAAAAAAAAAAAAAAAACAAAAAATATACGACAGGCTGCCAGGCATCAGGTATACTATTTCGAGTTTTTAGTGTAAAATATTTCGACGTTGAAATAATTACCAATTTTTGAGTGTTAATTAGTATGTTACCAAAGTTTGAGTGTTTAAATTTTTCAATTAAAATGTTTGCATTTTAGATGTGTAATATATATACAAATATACCCCAGTAATTGAAATTTAAAATATTCGTTAAAAGAATGAATAAGAAGTGCTGCTACGAACATTTATTCCGATAGATGGCTTTAATGATAATTGACTAATTGTCAAATTTTTACGAAAAAAAAAAACATTTAAAATTAGTGGTGTATAATTAAATCGTAAAATTAGTTTTTAATTAAAATTAAAAAATCATTGATTAATTTAGAAGCTTTAAAAATTTGTTTTGATAATAAAAAGTAATGTCGTATATTAGTTAGGATAAGGGCTAAGTAGGAAGTAGTAGTGGCAATATTTAGTAATTGTCGATTTGATTTTCCTAAAATGCAATTGTACATTTCAATTCGTGGATAATATTTAAGAAGAGAATGTTAATTGATTACACCAATTTGATTTTATTGGGAAGTATAGTGATATAAGTAGTTCTGAGATAAGCAGTATTGACGGGGGAATTATATAGTTTAAAAATTCATATTGAACAAAATATACTTCCAAAAATCCCTCATTTGATTATAATTGTATTAAATTATAATTGTATTTTGTAATCACAACAATAAAACTTAGTGAAATTATCTTAATTAGATTTAATATTTAATAATGTAGGTGAATTTATTTGGGGATTACTGTAATTTCTTTAATGTTATTTACTTTAAGTTAAAATATTCTGAACATTTCTGTATTTAATTCGATTACTTAATCGTAATATTCTTATTAAAATATACAAAAATTATTTTTATTTCTAAAAATCTCCTAAAAAAGGTAAAAAATTAAAATAATGAGTGCATAATTTATTAATATTCAATTATCCCAATAAGTACAGACAGTGAAATTATCCTTAATAAGCAAATAATATTTTATTCTCCTCTGCTTTAGATATCAATTTTTTTTTTTTCATAAATTATATTTAGTAGAATTGTGATTCTTAAGGAGTTGGTAATTTTATATTTTCAAGACCAACCTAAATATGAGGAAAAAAATATCCTTTTTTTGATTTTGTTTTTTTTTCTTTTGAATGATTTTTTGTTATTGTTATCTTTAGATCCTTTCCTTTTCTTGATGATTTTCTGACTATTTTAATAATAATAAAATTTGGGTAGGTTTCACATTTTTATTTAAATATTTATTTATTTATTTTTTTTTTAAGATTTCATCATATTTATGTTGAGGCAGTTCTTCAGCAAACATTATAATAATAAAAACGAAAGAAACAGGGAATGAGGTTAAGGTCATGATTATTAATTCAAACCACCAAAAAACCAAGGTAAGTTAAAAGTCTTAAAAATAACATTTAGGAATGGTATACAGCGAATAGTTGTATGTGTGTGTGTTTATGTATTATTTTCTACCTTAGTGTCTTTTATTTATTCTCATTTATTAATCGCGCTTATCTTTTTATATTCATTTTACTTAAGTATATAAGTATATCGAAATTTTTATGAGATATTTTAAGGAAATTTTCCAAATTATACACGATTATATTTATAAATTTCATATTGAATTACGTGATAAACATATATGAATTTTGAGAATTTTTTTAATAAATTAAAAGATTAATTTATTGATACGAATAGATATAGGGAATTTAGAAAATTTTAGAATTTATCGATGCGTAGATATGGTGAAATGAAGGAGTTATGCTAATACGCACATAAATATATTGAAATTAATATATACTTACATAAATATATATTTTTAGTAATGATTTAACTGATGCGTAAGCAAATACAGTTGAAACCAGTAAATTGTGACATGAATTTGGGAACTAGTTACTTTTTTCTTATTATTTGATTTTATACCGATTATTTTTACTTTATTTTACTAGTAAAATTCCTAAAAGTTCTAGTATTCCTACTCGCAACCAATAATTGTTATTGTTTACCAACTGATTTCTTCAATAATGGCAGCACATGCACATATCACAGAGAGAGTATATAGTTTAATACTCAAATTATGCCATGACATAACGCCAAAAAAAAAAATTCCTGTGACCACTGGGTGATTATTAAAATACTTTACATATTCAAATAAGTCTAATATAACGTGTAATTAATTTAAGTAGTTTTAATTTAATATTTACTTCAGATTTAGTTTCAGATTTCAGTAAGTTTGTTTTAGTTCAGTTCAATTTTATATTTTCATCTAGTAAGTAGATATTTAAAATCTTGACAAAAATGTGTATGTATTTTATTGGGTTAAAATTTTATCCCTTGAAATAGTGAAAATAATAAAAATAAACAAAAGGTGAAATAATTTTTTTAAGTATTACTTAAGTAGAAATTAAAGTTCTTGTTTAATCAAAATAATATGTCGCCTGCAATAAAATTAAATATCTCTGCTGATGCACTAGATAGAAATCATAAAAGCTCTAACTTGTTGCTACAAAGTGACAAATTATATGAGAAATAAAATGCTCTTCTTTTATTACTAAACAAATTATGTAAATTCCGTTCTGCTTTTAATTAACAACAGGGCTACAGAGATACCTGTATTAAATAAAATTTGGTCGACTAGCTATGAGGACGTTTGTATGAGAAATACCAATTTTTCTGTATTTTCCGATTTGGAGCAAATTTTTTTTTTGCAATTGAAAAATTTTTATTACGTAAAAGTACACAACAATGTTTTAATTTCCATTTAACAATAAGTAGTTTTTCCGGCAAGCTTCGATAGATTTCGATATAAATGCATATTAATTGATAGCTTGCTCTCAATTTCCATGATTAACTAAGAACTTATTAAGTAAATGTAAATTTTTTATTAATTAAAAACAAAAATAATTGTTTTAATGCAATTTATAAAAGCATGCACATGTTGTTAGGAAAAAAATTTCTTCTCTAAAATTGGCTACAATATTAGCTTGAAAAATATACGATTTTTAAAATAATTGAAACATAGACAGAATGAACAACAGATAGCTGTATTCAATTTCCCCGGGATTCCTATTGCGTTAACAATTTTTTACATTTTTTAATTAATTAACTAAAGAACTCTGAGAATCAAAGTTTCTGTTCTATCAAGAGCTGAAACATTAATATCGTAAACTATCGTAACTATCGTAATAAAAAAAAATATTTTTTTTTAAAGTAAAATAGGTTGATGCAATAGAATTCTGGTTTACATTAACTAAGTAAACGAAAAGTTTTATTTTTAAGTACTGGCACTCTGTTAGGTACCTACTCTTAAAGTAATTTATAAGGTACAAAATGTATTGAAATCTTTTCAATCGTCTAAGTATATAATATTCCCGAAGATGATAATCAAAAGCATCAGCTGTTCAACTTTAAAGAAAACTCAATTTTTATTTGTTATTATTAAATCAGTTTCTTCATTCAACAAATTTATAGTAAATCCTGTATAGACGTAAGTGTATAGTTACTACAAATGTATACAATTCTGTGTTGAAGTTTTAATTAAATCATAGTTAAATTAAAGAATTTATATTTTAGGCATATTTATAGACAAAAAGGTTCATTGACAAAACACAATATCTGAAATTTTGGTATATACTTAATTCTATAAAATCTAAAAATTATAATCTCCTCATTATTCTGTTAGACACTACCTGAGCATTACTGGATGGAATAGCTAATCGCACCAAAAAATTTAATAGGTAAATTTCTTAAAATAAAATCCATTTTTAAAATTTAATTACTTAATTTAATTCGTGAAAACTTCAATATTTTTTAAATAATATCCTTATTCCTTAATTAATATATGATGCTGGTCTAACAGAATCCTGAAATGAATATTAAATTAATAATTAATTAAAATTAACACTTACCTAATAATTTCATAACCTCATGATAATTTAAATATAAATTTAAATGGCCATTAATAATCGATAATTTATTAATTAATATAAATAAAAATAAACTAGAAATTTTATAAATATTTAATAAATACATTATTTTCTTCTTTTTTCTTTTTTTTGTAACTCTTAGCTTATTAAGTAATTTTCAAATTCAGTAAGGTTCGCACGCCTATTATTTTTGTAGCAATAAAAATTTAAATGTATAAAATGAGATGAAAAATAAAATAAAATTTTGTTATTATTTTTGTTTTTCTTTTTTTTTTTTTGATAAGAAGATTTAATTATAAGAGCAAGTAAGTATAACACAATTTCCGTTTACTGAACTCTCAGCTACTTAACTCTTTTTTTTTTCTAATATTTTTCTCTGTACTGTATTTTGTAAATATATACACAAAAATATTTAATTATATTAACATTTTATTAAACAAATAATTAGAAATTTTATAACAAATTTAGTTCATTTAAATAAAATTTATAATATAAATACCGCCGAAATCTTATCAACAAATTTTTTTTAAAACAAAATAAACAAAAATTCCATTGAATTTTTTGGGTAGCAAAAAAAAAATTCTTCTTTTTTTATATGATTTTTTTTTTTTCACTTTACCGGCTGATTCTTACACTTGACGAGATCTAAACATAAACTGACAGTAACAAAAAATTGACATTGACATTTTGAATTTTTCGTTCGACTCAATTTTATTTTTATTTTTTCATATTCTTCATTTTCTTTTCTCTTTACTTCTCTTCTCAATAAAATCTTGAATGGAAACTACATTGTTATAATGTTATTTAAACTGTAATACAATATTGTATTTAAGATTTTATTTCAATAAATTAAAAGTAGCGACAACTGGTGGTGAAATAATTTATATTCGTTTTTTAATACGTATATTTTGTAGTAAATTTTGTTATACAAATAAAAATATGTATAAAAGATGAGGAGGAGAAAAACTAAAAAGAAATATCAAAAAGTGTTATACAGAAATTTTTATTACATATATTTTTTTTTTATTTTATGTTTAGGTAGAAAATTTTGTTATTCTAGTGATTATTATGAAAAGTCATAGTATGTTGATAACGGTTTTATGAAATACTATTTTATAAAATATTTGACGGCGATTTTGTTATTAAAATAATGAAGTATAAGCAGGTATGTATGTATGCACGTATACCTGTAGAAAAAAGAATGCTGCTTAAAAGAAATTTTAAATAAAAATTGTTTTGAAAAATTATAGGAAATTTCTAAAACAGTAACTGAAATTCAAAAAAATTTGGAGTATCATGTGAAGTTGTCTAGTTGGTATGTCTAGAACTAATGATAGACTTATCGATATATATATGTATATGTACTTATATAACATGTATCACATTTATAATTGCAATCATATATAAATTTGTTTTTCGAAGATTGCTGGAATTTTCTTTACGTATATTAGGTTCTGAAGAGTCAATCATGTTTGTAATTTTTTTACGATTTCTATTTTGAAAAACTTGCACAATCCCAACTGCAAATGAAGTTGCCGATAAATTGCTATAGTAACTCACATAATTTAAAAAAATATACATTGAAATTTCCAAAATTTAAATATCTACAAGTTGCTTCAGCTAAATTTCCGGTAATAAACAAAAAAACAAACTCTAACACAGTGCACGGCGTTTTTATGACAAATAACAATGTAAACTGTTAAATATAAAAAGTCTTAAACTTCAAAATTATTTTTCAATCACATACTAAAAGAAAGATTTTGGATTTTATTTCTTATAAAAGGAATATTTTTATATATTGAATAAATATAAGTGAAGAGTATAAGTTGAGCTTTCAATTTACTTTTAAAAACATTTACTAATTTTCCAACCGAATTGCTATAGTACGTCAAATAATTCAGGACGAGACTTTTATTTAAAAAGGAAGTAAGAAATGATTTAAAATGGATTTTGCAGACAATTATATTGCGGAACAGAGTAATAGTTTACAAATAATTTTTATTTTTTTATTAATTGTGGAAAAATATTCTTTTCACATTACTAGCACTATTATAACGGAAATAAAGTGTATCCGATATTACGAGAAAAGCTTGTCTGAATTTAATAATTTTTTAAAATTAAAAATACTAGATGGAACTTTTTCTATATCGAGTCATTTAAATCAATCTTGGCATTAATAAAATCTAAATTGTTTGACATACGATAATTTATTTATTTATTGGTGGAACTTTAAATTTGTTAAAGACTGTAATGCGTGATTATACAAAATTTATTGTTAAAAATGTAATTTGAAAACCATTTACAGCCTTTCAATAAAAATTTAATATTATTGTTAAGGCATAATTATTAATCAGAATTTATCAATCGACAGTGGTAATATAATATGCTAACTTGTAAACTATTGTAATGTAAGCCTTTTAGATCGTAAATTTGTAATGAATGAGAAAAACATAATCTGAATTTAAGAAAATTTAATTTTTGTTCTTCTTTTTTTCAAAGCGAAAATGGGAGAGCGATATTTGTTTTGGAGTTTGGAATTCGGTTAAATGTATTCATAATACCGTATGTTGAGAAATGAAACAGTTTATAGCGTATACAACGTACATATACCGATCATACCTTAGAACTATTTACGTACATGTTATATATTTTGCAATGAACTCGTTTTTGAACTTCGAATATCCGTTAAATTCATCTTGTTTAATTTGTTTACAAAAAACAATTTTCGGGTTTAGTATGAATTTGAGAGGACATTCAAGTTGAATGGTTTTTGATAATTTCGTTGGTTAGCGCTAAATTACTAACTCCCTTGTTTTTTTTCTTTAAATGTTATTTACTGATAATAAGAAATTTAAAATTTTGCTTTAACAATTAAAATTTTAATATTTTTTTTTATTTGATCTGCTTTGTTTTTGGCACTTCATATTATTTTATTTGAATTTTGCATTCGTATTTATAGATTCTCTTTATGAATGAGCAAGCATTTGTCTTACAACAAAAAATAATTTTCTAAATTGAAGAATCAATTAATTTTTAAAAAAATTTCCCAATATGTCAAATAATAGTGTGCGTGTTATTTTAAAAATTATAATGAAATTTTTTTGGCAAATTTATTTTATGTTAGCTGTGAAAATTATTATGTACCACACAGATTGATAACACAAAAGTTGAAGCACTATGTTTTAATTGGATGGTTGTTTTCCATCGACTGTTATAACTGAAAAACTATATATGAGTGAGAAACTTAAATACTTAAAAGAATTTATATGAGTTCGCTGCCGCTCATACTTCGGTCGGAATTCTGAGTATCTTCAGGTCACCACAATTTTTTTCCTCTTTATTTTATTTTTTTGTTGTTTTGCTTTTATAATACAGGTACATTCATATGCATTATTATAAAATATTATTAATTTTTGTTTTACTTGTTTTACCATTGATAATGAACTTTAACGGAGAGATAAAAATTAAGAGAGGGAACAATTTTTTACTTCTTTATTTTTTCAAAATTATAGAATAAAAAATGTAAATAAAATTGTTTTGGAATTGATTTCTTCAAATAAGTGAGCTTTTTTATGCCACAAAACAAGTTTATCATCTAGCGCATATGTATGTATGTATGCGTTTTTCATTATCAAAATTTTTAATTTTACCGCATAAGTTATTTAAATTAAAGTATACATACATCGTGAAATATAATACAAACAGTTGAAATTAAAAATAATAATAATATTCTGATTTCGAAAACTAGTATTGCCCAATAAGCCTAAAAACTTTACTTGTTTGGGATAAACTCTTAATTTGGAAAATTTACTCAATTATAATAAATGTTTAGAAAACTAAAATGCGCAATAAAATTTTATTTAATTTTAGTAGTAATATTGATATTAATTTATAATAGTGCAGAATTTTGACGATTTCAAAAACCTTTAATTTTAAAGTAAATCTTAACTTTTGGTAGCACTGAAAAATTGCGTAAATTTCTTATACTGAGTCGCAGCGTACACCAACACAGTCATATAATGTAAATATTTTATTTTCGAAGAATGTTAAATTTAAAAAAATTATAAACTTGTATGACTAGAAAATATCAAAATATACTTAATTACCAATGATGTTTAGACTGTCTGTTTATAATTTAATCAATATGTATACAAAATTGTATATGTATTTACTGCTTTGAATTTAAATTAATTAAAAAAGTAATTCACCATTAATTCAAAATAAATATATGTAAATAAAAACGATTTAACTACAATATTACCGGGCTATTAAAGTTGACTAAGAAATCTTCAATACCGGTACTAGATTTGCAGCTGGTAGCTGAAGGTTTGATAGCATTGCTGTCAAGAGGAAACTTCTACAGGAATGTTTTCTTCAAGAGTGCCTTAACTACGTCAGGTTTTTCAGCAGAATTATCGATGGGGATTGTTCTGATTATCATCTCCAAAATAAAGATTTAAATTTTAATTGTTTTTTCTGCAAAGGTTGCAGAATGTATAATGTTAACCGTTAATAAGTTAGAGTAAATATGTTAATTGAAAATTTATTAAAATAAAATAAAATTGCTGTTTATAAAAACTGGTTTAAAAATCAATAATGTATCTTAAATTTAATGAACTGTTGATGTAAATGTTAAGTTTTTCTTTTCAAACTATAAACTCGTTTTGTTATATATTTGTATGTATATGTTGCTTTTTAACTAATGATGTTCTTTTACTGATAAGTTTATAGAGAAATTTTTTGATTTCAGTGTTATTTTGAGAATTCGTGAAAGGTGATCAATTTAAGTAAAAATAATGTTAAGTTTAAACCTTTCTTTCTCATTTTAAATTTAAATTAAAGTTAAAATAAATAGAAGATAATTTTTTTGAACGCTATTTACGATAGGAAGACGTTTGAGCAAAAATTTTTAAAAATTCTCGTAAAACTGTTAAAAATTAGTTTATATATTTGTGTCACCTAAATATTCATTGATCTACTGACTAATAATCAAAAGTTGTTAGTGATTAGGAAACATAAAAATTTGAAGAATTAATTTAATATTCGTATTACGCCAATTAATAATACAATGGTTGCTCTTACAATTTCGATATTTATTTTGTTAAATTTGTTATTAAATATTAACTGTCAAAATTGTTATGTACCAGAGATTGATAATAAAAAAGTTGAAGCAATATGTTTTAACTGGAAAACTACTACATCAGGTATTATAGATGATGGAAACGGTGCTGCGTCTAGTTCTGCAAGAGTTGATTTCTTGGCAGATTCATGTGTCCCTAGTGCGGCAGGAATTATTTTACGTTGTAAAATTGGTTACAAAAATAAAATATCAGAAGAAGGTGATTCTATTTTAAATATATGCAAAGGTGGAAAATGGAAATATGAAAATATCAACAGTGAAAATTGTGAATCTATATGTGGCAAATTATTTCAAGAAGAACTTAAACCAACTTCAAAACCATTATTATTTAAAGGTAATGAAGTTGATATAAAATTGGCACCATGGCATGTTGCTATTTACAGAAATTCTTCAAATACATTTGAGCAAATATGTGGCGGAACTATTATCCATTCAAATATTATTGTATCGGCAGGACACTGTTTCTATGATTATTCAAAAGATGATCTTTCTAATCCATCAAAGTTTTCAATAGGTGCTGGCAAACGTTATCGAGATTATGAAGCAAATGAACAATTATCACAATTTGCTCGTGTTAAAACAATTTTTGTACCAGACACGTAAGTATTTTATATGAAAAAATTTTTTTTGATTGGAATATATGAAATCATTTTGAACAAAAATTTATACGGAACATTTTTAAGAAATTATTTTACGTTACAATACGAAATTACGTTAAAAAAAATATGTATTGTTAGTTCAATATTTATAGCTAAAAAATTTTATTATTCTTAGATTTCAACCAGAACCATTACGAAGTGACATTGCAGTTTTAGTTCTTGATCGTCACTTCAAATATAATCCCGTTATAGCGCCGGTTTGTTTAGATTGGGATCTTTCATCTCATAGTGATCATTACGATAGACTTTCTGCGGTTCTTTATGGATGGGGACATACATCTCCTGATGAAATTGCGAGTTCAACACTATTAAAAATTAATTTAAAGACCATAGAGAGTACAGATTGTAAAAAATTGGTTGATCGAAATTATAGACCAGATATTTCTCGTGATAGATTTTGTGCTATAAATGATAATAATGCAACTGCATGTGGTGGAGATAGCGGTGGTGGGTTAATAACTATGAGAGAAGGGTATAAATTAACTGGTGTTGTTAGCGTTGGTCTTCATAAAGAACTTTATTGTACGGATGGATTTGTTACAGTATTTACAAAAGTAAGAGTTTTTCAAGATTTTATTAAATCAATAGTTTCTAAAAATCGAAACGAAGAACAGAATGCAGCAGAACAAATTTTAAAATGGAAAAATGTGCGATAATCAGAAGCATTTTTTATCTTGTTGTTATATACAAATCTTTTAATATGAATTCAAAATAAAATTTTAAAAAACAGAATTGTTTAAATATAAGTTTGTGTATTGTTTAAATATTGAGTCAATTAGAATATAATGATGTATTCATTGGAAATAATAATTTTTAAGTACAAGTTTTTAATGGCTGATTTGTACAGTTAGTTTGTTAATATTAATATTAATTAATGTACAATATGGATTTAATTTGGAAATTTTATGCAAGGAATTTGGTTCTTTATTTATAATGATTAAAATTGCAAAACAAAAAAAAAATTAATATTTAAAAAGAAATTTTTAATTTGTATAAAAACTTTCTTTACTCTAATACCAAAGCTATCTAATGTTCTTGTCAAAGTAAAAAGTCATAGGATACTCAACATTGTACAATATTTTTATACATTGTTTTGATACTACTCTTCCTAAGTACGGCTTACGTCTAATTTAACAAATTTGGAGAATCTTATCGATAAAGCATAAGAAGAACCGGTAGTTCTGGTCGTCTAACAAATACTTTTGTAAATTCGATACTAAAAATATTTTTTTATACAGAATTTATGCAGTTTGTATTACAGAATTATTAAGCTTTTTTTAAATGTCTTTCTCTCTTCCACAAATATTTCCATTTTCAACTATAAAACCATAATAAAGTCTTTATTTTATTCAGTTTGTGAGAACATTCTTATGAAACTACCTCGTGCTAAAATTCATAAAAATTATTTTGTACATGACAACTTAAAATCGGTGCAGGTTTATAATTAACTTTGCATTTATAATTAAATAAGTTTCATTTTTACTCATTTCTAAAATGGGAACTCTTAAGAACTTTATTTTCACAATAATTTTCATATCACTTACATTCTCAAATTGTTCAACCTTAAGTGACGATAATATTGAAAGTACTGCAATAATTAAAATTTCTAAAAAGAGCAGGTGATTTTTTTAAAAATGATTTTCTAGTTTAATGTGTTTTTAAAACTAATTGTTTTATCTGAACAGTTCTACACCAAAGTGTTTAGTGCCACCTGGAATTGATTATAAAAAAATTGAAGTTTTATGTTATGATATTAAAAGAAATCATGATGGTAAATATCATTTGTTTGAAGATCAATGTTCAGAGAGTACAGAAGTAATATTAACGCGTTGCCAAGTTGGTTATGCAAATAGAAAATCTAGAAATATTAATGATTATTTAAACAAATGTGTTAATGGAAAATGGGAGAATGAGGGTCGTACAAATGATGACTGCGAATTGATATGTGGTCAAAATCTTGAATCTAGAACAGAAAAACCAGCTACTATACCTCTAGTGTATAATGGCAAGAAAATTGAATCAAATAATGTACCGTGGCATGTTGCAATCTACAAAAATATTTCATCAAAATTTGAACAAATATGCGGTGGCAGTATTGTACATTCAAATGTTATTTTATCAGCAGCACATTGCTTTTATGATCCTTCAAAAGACACCCTTGAAAATTTATCTAAATTTTCTGTTGCTGCTGGAAAACGTTTTCGTAATTATGAAATGGAAGAACAACATGAACAATTTGCGCGTATTAAGAAAGTTCATGTTTTTGGATAGTAAGAAAAAAATGTTAAATTACATATATTAATTTTTAATATTTATATAAAATATATATAAATAGATTTAATAGATCATAAGTCAACGATTTAAGTCTTTTATAGTTAAATAGTGTTTAACATATTATAATATATTTTTATATTTTGTCCTAATAGCTCAGAGCTTTCACTACGGAATGATATTGCGGTTGTATCTCTTGATCGGCATTTGCAGTATTCACCTTATGTTGAACCAGTTTGCATAAATTGGAGTCTGTATTCAGAATTTCCTTCAAATTATGAAAATGTCTTAGGTCATCTTTATGGTTGGGGTGCAACATCTGATAATATGGATCTACCCTTAGAATTGCTCAAAATAGAATTGGAACCAATACCAAATGATATATGTAAAGAAATGGTTCCAAATTTTGAAATAACATCTGATGTATTTTGTGCTATAAATAAAGAAAATTCAACTGCTTGTTCTGGTGATGGAGGGGGAGGTTTAGTGATCGAAAATAAAGGTGATAACAATCTTATAATTTTACTTGGAACTGTTAGTCATACAGTTAGAAAGAAAAATTCATTTAATTCTTGTTCTGATGGAACAATAACTATATTCACAGATATTAAATTTTATCAGTATTTAATTAAGCCTGCAATATCGAAAAGTAGAGATTTAACAAATGAATCTTTAATTAATGTGAATATTATGTATGAATAAGAAATTATAAAGATTGATTATAAATAAAAAAAGCGGTACATTTATTATATGTTTAATTTAAAAATTAAAACTCTCTAATTGGGCCTGACGGTAACTACTACAAAACTCACGTTTTCCTTTTTCAAAAAAAAAAAAAAATTGAGGAATATGGAAGAGAAGATTTGACCGACAATTTTAGTTTAATAATACATTTATATAATGTCCAATGATGAAAATCGTATCTTACAAAAGTTTCGTCCTAATATTATACCCAAATAGGTGATACGTCTGTTACGTTAACACGGTGAATTTAATAGTTTATTGAAATTAATGATTTGACTGCTAAAAACTGCGTAATGCCATTAAGATTTATACGGTATCTGTGGTTACCTTTTTTCTATTTTCCTAAAATTTGTTTATCTAATTAAAATTATAAGAACGGGTTTTTCAATGAGGATATTCAGATTTCAAACCAATGCTATGATAATTGTTGGTGTGCACTTACAAATCGGATGATCACCTTTAATTTTATTCAGTGAGTTTAACAAATTTATCATGGGAAGATGAACGCCTCCGAAATATTTACAAATCGCTTAATTATATAATCATTTTGTAATTTAAATACAGTATTTGTGCCAATTTGACTTGCGCCTTTGATAAACAAAACTGTTTTGATTAGAGTGAAAAAAATCCACAAATTGTTCGTGTGACACCCTTATATCAAGTAAAATTAGTTAATTAATGGTTCTTGGTAGAGCTATACGTTAATATTTCTTATTTCAAAAACTGAACGCTATAGCTGAATGATGTGATACTTTTCTTCATATCAATTTTCGGAAACCGAAACATATGCCAGTAGTCTGCCAAATATTCATTTTGTTGTGTAAAAAGTTTGATAAATAAATTATTTTCTGAAAATCCTACATTACATTTAGCCGACAAGACCCTGTTTGTTTTACGAAACTGTACTTCCACAATGTGTTCTACGCTTTATTTTAATAAGAAATTTGAAAAATCTTATTGGAAAACCAATTAGATAATGCATAAAGCACTATTGCTGAAGAAGAACTGGTAATTCTGGTCGACTTACTACCTTTGTAAATACGATACTAAAATATTAATTTTTTGTTCAGAATTTATCCAGTTTGTGTTTGTTACAGAATTATTAAGCTTTTTTTAAATGTCTTTCTCTCTTCCACAAATATTTCCATTTTCAACTATAAAACCATAATAAAGTCTTTATTTTATTCAGTTTGTGAGAACATTCTTATGAAACTACCTCGTGCTAAAATTCATAAAAATTATTTTGTACATGACATCTTAAAATCGGTGCAGGTTTATAATTAACTTTGCATTTATAATTAAATAAGTTTCATTTTTACTCATTTCTAAAATGGGAACTCTTGAGAACTTTATTTTCACAATAATTTTCATATCACTTACATTCTCAAATTGTTCGACCTTAAGTGACGATAATATTGAAAGTACCGCAATAATTAAAATTTCTAAAAGGAATAGGTAATTTTTTTTAAAAATGATTTTCTAGTTTAATGTGTTTTTAAAACTAATTGTTTTATCTGAACAGTTCTACACCCAAATGTTCAGTGCCATCTGGAATTGATTATAAAAAAATTGAAGTTTTATGTTATGATATTAAAAGAAATCATGATAGTAAATATCATTTGTTTGAAGATCAATGTTCAGCGAGTACAGAAGTAATATTAACGCGTTGCCAAGTTGGTTATGCAAATAGAAAATCTAGAAATATTAATGATTATTTAAACAAATGTGTTAATGGAAAATGGGAGAATGAGGATCATACAAATGATGACTGCGAATTGATATGTGGTCAAAATCTTGAATCTAGAACAGAAAAACCACCTACTATACCTCTAGTGTATAATGGCAAGAAAATTGAATCAAATAATGTACCGTGGCATGTTGCAATCTACAAAAATATTTCATCAAAATTTGAACAAATATGCGGTGGCAGTATTGTACATTCAAATGTTATTTTATCAGCAGCACATTGCTTTTATGATCCTTCAAAAGACACCCTTGAAAATTTATCTGAATTTTCTGTTGCTGCTGGAAAACGTTTTCGTAATTATGAAATGGAAGAACAACATGAACAATTTGCGCGTATTAAGAAAGTTCATATTTTTGGATAGTAAGAAAAAAAAATTAATTTACTTATATTAATTGTTAATATTTATAAAATTATGTAAATAGATTCAATGAGCTTTACTGGGCTTAAGTTAAACTAATAGTTTATTACTTTGACTAAGGCTTATAAGAGTCTTTTACATAAATTTTGAGAAATTATTTGCGTTTGGCTTGGTTTAACTGTATTTTTTTTTCAACAGTTCGGAGCTTCGAAATGATATTGCGGTTGTAACTCTTGATCGCCGTTTGCAGTATTCACCTTATGTTGAACCAGTTTGCATAAATTGGAGTCTGTATACAGAATTTCCTTCAAATTATGAAAATATCTTAGGCCATCTTTATGGTTGGGGTGCAACATCTGATGATATGGATCTACCCTTAGAATTGCTCAAAATAGAATTGGAACCAATACCAAATGATATATGTAAAAAAATGGCTCCAAATTTTCAAATAACATCTGATGTATTTTGTGCTATAAATAAAGAAAATTCAACTGCTTGTTCTGGTGATGGAGGGGGAGGTTTAGTAATGAAAAATCAAGGTGATAACAATGTTATAACTTTATTTGGAATTGTTAGTCATACGATTAGTAACAGAAATTATTGTTCTGATGGAGCAATAAGTATATTTACAGATATTAAATTTTATCAAAATTTCGTTAAGCCTGCAATTTCAAAAAGTAGAGATTTAATAAATGAATCTTTAATTAATGCTAATATTGTGTATGAATAAGAAGTTATAAACTATAATTATAAATAAAGAGCGACAAAAGATTTGCCAACTTAACAATATTAGCCACCTTTAATGTTTAATTAAGATATTAAAATTTTTGCTTTTTTTCAGAAAAAATTTGTGTTTCGAACTAGGTCTTACTGAAGATATAGAACTCATTGACATTCCAAAATCAGATATACTTTGTTAATTTGCTTCCATGATAAGCATGATAATATGACTCATAAAGTTTTTGTAAAATTAATTGTAAAAATCTTCTTAATGATTAATATTGGGGATTCCACAAAACTGAAAAGCAAGAAAAAAGCTTTATATAGAAAATATAATTTAGTAAAAAACACAATTTAATGTAGCCGATATATGATCAACGGCCAAATAAACTTGTATTAATTAGTCTTTGGAAAAGTATTAAATAGCAAAATATAAAAATAGTTTTAATAAACAGATTTATATTTTCACATTGTTAGGCCACTACTTGAAAATGTTCTAAGAATGTAAAACAAACGTAAAATGTAAGTGAAAAGGACATGCTCCTTCAACCTGATTCCCTCATAATATCTTCCAGTTCGCAATATTTCAAACAAAGACTCACCTGTAAATGATAAATGAATGCAATGGATCAACATTTCCAAAATGAGGTGAATTTCTGAACTTTAGTTTTGTCAACAAGCCTACCAGTTTCTAATCTTGATAAATAAAGTTAAGAAGAATAAAATTTCAAGAAATTGTTTTTATATACATAGTTAAATCAATCCAACGAGCACAATACTTCCCTTATTGCATACAATGAATATTGTCAGTTCAAACGAGTTAATTAAAATGTAAATTAGGTATTCGACATTAAGCTTTAATTGAAAAAATTTATTTAAAATATTATAATGATTTTAAGAACGTTCATCCGTCCTTCTGTTTGTAATTGTATAGGGAATTGTTCTATATAAAAAATATGACTCTGATAGTTTCAATTCTTACCAACTTTTTATTTTGAATTTAAATTTGCAATCATACCATAGATTAAAATCAAAAAATACATAATTCCAATAGACACAACTACCAGTTAAGAAAGTTTCCCAATATAAATTTTTTTTTCCCTCTTAGACAAATCTCAACTACAGATCTTCTTTTATAATTTGGCAAATCTTGAACAATGATTTTTACATTTTTGAGTTTGACTATAATTGTAATTAGTAAGTTAATAATTTTCAATTAAGAAGAGATACATTTGCCAGCCTTTCCAATTAGATATACGATTATTACAATGTTATTATTGGTTGTACTCGATGTACTCGTATTGAGTACAATAATCCGACAAATTAATGAGTTTAAAAACAAAACGGCTACTTATGAATACTTGCGTACAAATTAGTAATTATTATTCAAATAAACTTAGAGAAGAACTCGTTAGGCTCATACTTTTGAGCAATGATTTTCGCCTAATGAGAATTTTATTCTCTTTATAAAACAGAATTGTTGTTATGTTTTCTTTTTGTCTTTATATAAAATTCGTTTTTAAAATCAATCAGTATAAAATAGTGAAGTGATAGAAGGTGACTGTGTTTTCTTCACTCTAAGATAAAAAAGTTTCGTTAAATTTAAAGCGCCTTTAATTTTTTTTAATTATTCACATTTATAAGAACTTTGCAATTTTTTTAGAAATCCGTTTCAAAAATAAAAATTTATGCTTAAATTTTTGTAACTTTTTATATATTTACATAGATTTTTTAAGATAATATTAAGTTGACAAAACCCACTTTGTCAAAAATGACCGGAACTTTAAGAATTACAATATTTATTTTACATAGTTTATTATTGAAAGTCCACTGTCAAATATGTCATGTACCACAGATTGATAATTCTAAAGTTGAAGCGATATGTTTTAATTGGAAAACAACAACATCGAGTGTTATTACTGATGAAAACGGCTATACATCTACCTCTTTGAGAAGTGGTTTATTAGAAGATTCATGTATTCCAAATGCTCAAGGAATTATATTACGTTGTAAAATTGGCTATCAAAATAAAAAATCACAGGGAAAGGATAGTTATTTGAATTTATGTTATAATGGAACATGGAAATATGAAATTAATGAAAGTAATGATTGTGAATCTTTATGTGATAAATTATTTAAAGAAAAGACCGAATCAATCCCTACTCCATTATTATTGAACGCTAAAGAAACTGGTGAAGAATTACCACCATGGCATGTTGCTGTTTATAAAAACTCCTCGAATACTTTTGAACAAATTTGTGGCGGAACAATAATTCATTCGAACATTATTGTATCAGCAGGACATTGCTTTTATGATTATGCAACTAGTGGACTTTTTAATTCATCGAAATTTTCAGTAGGAGCTGGTAAACGTTATCGGCAATATGTAGCAAACGAGCCATTATCACAATTTGCTCTGGTTAAAAGAATTTTTGTACCTGCCACGTTAGTATGACTTTCTTAATTATTCATAATATAAAGTGTTGTAAGATAAAATAATAAAAATTAAATTTAAATTTTTGTTACTTAAATTCAGAGTACTTTTTCAGTTTCGTTTCTTAATAAATTTTCATTAAATTATTCAAAAATTAAAAATATTAAGCTATTTTTAGATTTCAACCGACACCATTACGAAATGACATTGCAGTTTTGGTTCTAGATCGTCATTTTAAATATAATCCAGTTATAGCACCAGTTTGTTTAGATTGGGAAATTTCTTCTTATAATGATCATTATGATAGCCTTTCTGCGGTTCTTTATGGATGGGGACACACATCTTCAGAGGAGATTCCGAGCACAAACCTATTAAAAATTAATTTGAGAACTATTGAGAATGTGGATTGCAGAAAATTAGTTGATCGAAAATATGCATTTGATATTTCTAGTGATAGGTTTTGTGCTGTGAACAAAGACAACGCAACAGCATGTGGTGGAGATAGCGGCGGTGGTTTAATAACTGTGAGGGAAGAATATAAATTAACTGGTATTGTTAGTGTTGGTGTTCATAAAAAACTTTATTGCACTAACGGATTTGTTACGGTATTTACAAAAGTAAGGATTTTCCGAGATTTCATTAGGTCGACTGTTTCGCAAATACGAAATGAAGAACAAAATATAGTAGAAGAAATTTTAAGTAGCAATAAGGTACGTTAGTAATTGTGTTAAGTAAATACTTAAAAATTGAAAATTGAAAGTAAAGTAAAAGGTTTTTGAAGCAAAAGGTTTAATAAATTAGGAAGTTCAATAAATTATTAATATCTTGCTTAAAGTTTATGAATTTGAGCAGCTTTTAAGAGTAGAAATTTTAAATCGTTTTGCGTTAAAAATGAAGTTGTTTGCATAATAAATAAATAATACGAATAATAAATTGTAAGTAATGATTGTCGTAATGAAATGAAAGTCTCGCGGAAAAGGTGCTTCTTTTATCAGCACTGTTGCAAAATTGCAATTAGTGTGTAACTAATTACAAACTGCTTAATTGCATGCGATCAGACAGTTGCATGTGTGCGCGCTTGAAAGTTACGACAATTATTACATTAGAATTACATTAATTTTTTTTGAAAATTTACAATAAAAAGTCACGGGCGTAAAAAATCTGGCGGAAATCTTCATCTTGCAAAAATCTCTCCGAAAGGCTAATATGGATTTGGAAGTATCTGGAAATTCCAGATAAATGTGACACTCTAGCATCACTGGTTTCAGTACATTTTGCTTCTAAGGCCTCTCCTTTAATCTAAAATCGATATATTATTTTTACATTTTTTTTCAGTGTTTGGTGCCAGAGGGAATCGATTTTAAAAAAATTGAAATTTTGTGTTATGATACTAAAGAAAGATATAATGAATTGTTGCAAGATCAATGTTCAGAAACTACAGAAGTAATATTAACTCGTTGCCAAGTTGGCTATGCAAACAAAAAGTCAAACAATATTAATGATTATTTGAATAAATGTGTAAATGGAAAGTGGGAAAATGAAAGGCATGTAAATGATGATTGTCAGTTAATTTGTGGCAAAAATCTCGAATCCAAAATAAGTAAACCAGTTATTAAATCCTCCTTGCGGCAAGATAACGAAACTGGATTATATACGGCACCATGGAATGTTGCGATCTATAAAAGTATTCCATCAAAATCTAAAGAACACGTCTGCAGTGGAAGTATTGTACATTCAAATGCTATTATATCAGCAGCACAGTGCTTTTATGATATTGAGAGTGATGAATTTCCTGAGGATTTATCAATATATTCAATTACAGCTGGAAATTATATTCATGGTTACGAAATGATAGAACAGCATAAACAATTTGCGCATATTAAGAAAATATATACTTTTGGATAGTAAGATAAAAATTTGATATTTATGTTAATTGATAAATTGTCAATATTTATCAATCATTAAGACTTTGATGTATTTATCATTACTATTTGTCAATATTTATATACATAAGACTTTGATATATATCATTAAGACTTTGTGAAATAACTTTTTACGTAACTTTTATTTAAGTATGAATTTTTGAACTATTTTAGATCAAGTTTTGTGGTTTTATTTAAGTTTGATAAATAAACTCGGGAAGCTTCAGAGGTTGTGGTTTATATCTGTTGCATTCTTTTACAAATGCTTTAGTTTATTAGTCGTGATAGAATCTGCTGCTTTTGAATGATTGCGTAAGCTAACAATCCTTCTCTTTATTTTTTGCATATACTAATCTTTTTGGTTTATGAAAGAGCTCCTAGCTTTTTTACATTCTTAAATAATTATTTTTAATTTTAAAGCAAGGAATTTACTTTTAATAGATTTATTATTTAAAAAAGAAGTGCAGACTTCTTGCATTTGCTTTGACTTCTTTCTTAAAATTTGTTTTCATTTCAGTGCAACATATTATCTGTTAAAATTTGAATTTTAGAGATTGTTAACGTTTTTATTTTTACATTCTTTAACCAACAGCTCAGCATCTTCATTCCGAAATAATATCGCAGTTGTTGCTCTTGATCGTCATTTACAATATTCGTCATTTGTTGAACCAGTTTGCATAAACTGGAATCCCTCCACGGACTTCCCTTCAAATTATAAAAATATCATAGGAAATCTTTATAGTTTAGGTGCAACATCAGATGCACCCACATTCTTTGACTCCTTGTCGATAAAACTGGAACCAATAACAAATGACGAATGTAAAAAAATGATTAGTAAAAAAAACCGAGATGAAATTACTTATGATAGATTTTGTGCTGTAAACAAGGATAATTCAACTATTTTTATTGAAGACACAGGCAGCGGTTTGGTATTAGAAAATAAAAGTGGGGTAACTGTATTTGGAGTTTTGAGTCATAAATTCAATCAGGAACACAAAAAGGAAATAATCATATTTACAGATGTTCAATTTTATCAACATTTAATTAAAACTGCAATATCGAAAAGTAGAAATTTAATAAATGATTCTTCAAATGATGCTAATAACAGGTTTGTTAACATTAATACTTTGCGTCCCTAATTTTATATTCAAAAACCAAATATTTTTATTTGCCCGATCTTAGTGCTTACTAAATTTTTAAAAGAAACCCGTGCTATGTTTGTACATTTTTATACGAATTGTATTTTTTGCTCTTTGACCTAAATATGGTTGAGATGGGTCTGATATTCACTATAAAAATTCTTAACTGCATCTTATAACTTGAACACAATTTGGTAACAGATAATGTTACCGAAAAAATGAAATAATTAGTCGAGATATCTTAAGTTACAAGGGTAATTTTATCTACTCGTTGTTCACACAAACTATTCATTTTTTAATTTTTGGTAAAAACCAATTCAAAAAACCATTTTTTATAGAGGATTTCATATATAACCTTAAAATGTCTTACTCATTAATTAATTAATAACTAAAACAAACTTATCTCAAATGCAAAAAAAAAAAAAATTAAAATAAATCTGAAAAAATAAAAAAAAATTACAGTTCTTTACCAAAATGTTTAATACCTACTGGAATTAGTAATAAAAAAATTGAAATTTTATGTTATGATACTAAAGAAAGATATAATGAACTATTGCAAGATCAATGTTCAGAAAACACAGAAGTAATGTTAACACGTTGCCAAATTGGTTATGCAAGTAAAAGTTCAAGCAATAATAATGATTATTTGAATATATGCGTGGATGGAAAATGGAAAAAAGAAAGTCAAGTAAATGATTGTGAATTAATATGTGGTCAAAATCTTGAGTCAAAACCAGAAGAACCAGCTACTATACCTTTAGTGTATAAAGGAGAGAAAATTGCATCAAATAATGTACCGTGGCACGTTGCAATTTACAAAAATGTTTCATCAAAATTTGTACAAATATGCGGTGGAAGTATCGTACATTCAAATGTTGTTATATCAGCAGCGCATTGCTGTTCTAGCTTTGAAATAGGAATGAATGAAGACGTGTCAAAATTTTCAGTTGGAGCTGGAAAACGTTTCCAGGATTATGAAATGGAAGAACAGCATGAACAATTTGCTCTTGTAAAAGAAATTTATAATTATGGATTGTAAGTTAAACATATAAAATTTTTTACATTTTATTATATCTTAACAATAAGACAAGTTTTGTGTAATAATTTTAAATATTTATCCAATAGCTTACAGTATCCAATACAGAATGATATAGCAGTTATTGCACTCGATCGTCATCTACAGTATTCGTCTTTTATTGAACCAGTGTGCATAGATTGGAGTCCTTCCATAAGCTTTCCTTCAAACTATAAAAATATCATTGGATATTTTTATGGTTGGGGAGCAACATCACCGGATATAGATTTTTCATTTGAATTACTAAAAATAAAATTAGAACCTATACCAAATAATATATGTAGAAAAATGACTAAAAATTTTAAAAATTTAGTTACACCTGATAGATTTTGCACTATAAGTGAAAACAATTCAACGATTTGTGCTCGTGATTCAGGTGGTGGTCTAGTATTTGAAAATGATAAAAAACTTGTAACTTTAATTGGAATTGGTAGTATTGGTCTCGATCACAACCGTTACTGTTCTGATGGTGCGATAGGTTTATTCACCGATATTAAATTTTATCAGCATTTCATTAAAACTGCCATATCAAAAAGCAGAGATTTAATTAGTCCATCTTTAATTGATATATAATAATAAATGACAGTGTAAGAATTCTTAAGTGTAAAGAAGTAACAATGTTTTTTATTTATGTTTTTCTCCTTAAGTGTTAAATTGTATGCTTCAGCTGTAAGCTTTTCATTGATTTCTACTTTAATTTAAATGTAACCATGATCAATTTGTTTTGGAATTGATTGTATTATTTACAATAAAATTTACCGTGTAGAGATTTCGAAAGGGGCAGGAGCAATGGGAAAGGTAAATCGAATCGAATAGAAAGACAAATCTAATGGAAAAGCTATGATAAAAAATAATAATTTGAAAAAGAGAAGCAACAAATTCTCACACACAACAGTTTTAGATATATACACTACGTTAAATTAAAAATTTTAAAATCTTGCTATTTTCCAGAAAAACTTGCATTTCAAACTAGACCTTACTGAAGATACGTTATAAAATTCTGTTATTAAAATTTCAAAATCAGATATATTTTGTTAATTAGCTTCCATGATAAGTTTTTGCTGCTATTATACTGGTTATTATATGAATCATAAAGTTTTTGCATAATTAATAACAAAAGTCTTTTTAATGAACAATAAATTCTACCAAAAACAAAAAATATTGAGAAAATAGCTTTACATAGAAAATATAATTCAGTAAAAATCGAAATCAAATGTAGTCGGCATTAACTATAGGCTTAATGTATATAATATTTCCCAAATAAACCAACATAAGCTTTTCCAGAGTATTTACAAAAGTAAGGATTTTCCGAGATTTCATTAAGTCGACTGTTTCTCAAATTCGAAATGAAGAACAAAATATAGTAAAACAAATTTTAAGTAGCAAAAAGGTACGTAAGTAATTATTATATTATTTTGTGTAATAAATAATATTTACGAAATTAAAACTGAGAATAAAAACAGTTGCCTAAAGCAAAAAGTTTCCGATATGTTTCTCATAAATGATTAAAAAAAAATGAATTTTGTGAAGAAATTCTAAGGCAAAAAGGGAACATTCTTTTAAGTTATGAATGTAAGAAATTTTTTAATTTTAAATTTCATTATAATCGATTTTATATGTTATTGTTACATTCGGATTATTATTGTACAAAGGAATTGAGAAAAGAGAAAAGGATTTTAACTTTGTATTCTGATTACCGCCAAGACAGGTTTATATTAAAAGACAACTTGTCCATTAAAAAAAATGTGAATGTTTTTATTTTTAAATTTTTGGAACGGTTTAAAATTAATAAAAATGTTATATTTTCACATTTATTTTCAGTGTTTAGTCCCACCGGGAATAGATATTAAAAAAATTGAAATTGTATGTTATGATACTAAAGAAAGATATAATGAATTGTTGCAAGATCAATGTTCAGAAACTACAGAAGTGATATTAACTCGCTGCCAAGTTGGTTATGCAAACAAAAAATCAAACAACATCAATGATTATTTGAATAAATGTGTAAATGGAAAGTGGGAAAATGCAAAACATGCAAAAGGTGATTGCGAATTAATTTGTGGCAAAAACCTTGAACCCTTATTGTTGGAAACCAGAGAGATTACATCAAATAATGCACCATGGCATGTTGCGATCTACAAAAATATTTCATTACAATTTAAAGAACATATTTGCAGTGGAAGTATTGTACATTCAAATGTTGTTATATCGGCAGCACAGTGCTTTTACGATATGAAAAGTGATAAATTTACTCAAGATTTATCTAAATTTTCAATTACAGCTGGAAATCGTTTCCGTAATTATGAACTGAAAGAACAGCATAAACAAATTGCACTTATTAAGAAAATACATTTTTTTGGATAGTAAGATAAAAATGTTAAACCACATATTTCAATGATTATAAATATTTATTAAATATGTATTTGTTTAGGATGTTGTTATACATTTAGAAAATAGAATAATTCAAGCTAAATTATAAACTTAGCAAGGAACTTATCGGGTTTCGAATACTGGCATTGGTACTTAAAACATTGTGAGAGCTTTGAGCGAGTGCCTTTATTTGACATGCATCCAGTAGTTTTGTTCTCAGAACAGACCTACCTATTTTGATCCATTCAAAAATTTATGTTTTAAACGGTTGTGTTATGCGAACTAAAAGTGATATTAAGTTTGTTCTTATGCTTATACCGCCTTTCAAGCGCATGTTTAACAATATCATTGCACATTTCTGTGACATGGTTGTTGCCTAATTTCAATAATCTTAGCCATGTAAGAAATTTCAACTTTAAGAGCCTTCTATTTACTAAACCATTTGTGATAGATGTCTGTGGTCTTTTTTTTCTAGCTAATAAAAATTAACCTCTTGTAGCTATTTACAAGATTGTAGATAAATTACATTTAAATGTAGCTATTTACAAGATATATCGTGTTTGATTGATAACCTGGCGACTTTCTACAATCTATTATTTTATATTTGGTTTATATGACATTAACTTTCTTATTATTTTAATGAAATAACATCTTTTGAAATTTAATTTTTAGAGATTAAACGTTTTTATTTTTGATATCTCCATATTCATAGATTTTTACATTTCTCATTCGACAGTTCACCTACATCACTACGAAATAATATTGCAGTAGTAGCTCTTGACCATAATTTACAGTTTTCATCTTTTGTTCAACCAGTCTGTATAAACTGGAACCCCTCCGAGGAATTTCGTTCAACTTATAAAAATAGATTAGGACATCTCTTTGGTTGGGGTGCACAAACACAGAAAAAGGGGGAGTTTTCGGAATTGTTAATGACAAAATTGAAACCAGCAACAAATGATGAATGTAAAAAAATTGTTGTTAAAAATAACCAGGATGAAACTGTTGATAATAGATTTTGTGCTGTAACCAACGCTAATTCAGCTGCCCCTGTTGGTGATATAGGTAGCGGTTTAGTATTAGAAAATAAAAGTGTCGTAACTTTTATTGGAGTTTTGAGCCACATATTCAATTTGGAACACAACCAAGAAATAGCCGTATTTGAAGATGTTCAATTTTATCAAGATGCATTTAAAATTGCAATATCGAAAAGTAGAGATTTGATAAATGAATCTTCAAATGATGCTAAAAACAGGTTTTGATGTTTAATATTTTGTATTTATAATTTTATAAACACAAAATATTAAAACGAAATTAAATAAATAAAATTAATACTAAAAAAAATTTGAAATAATAAAAATAAAGTGTATAACGTTCATATTTTGTTTGAACAGCTCCTCATCAAAATGTTTAGCCCCTACTGGAATTGATAATGAAAAAGTTGAAATCGTATGTTATGATGCTAAAGAAAGATACAATGAATTATTAAGAGATCCATGTTCAAATAGCACAGAAGTAATATTAACACGTTGCCAAATTGGTTATGCAAGTAAAAGTCCAAGCAATAGTGATGATTATTTGAATATATGCGTGGATGGAAAATGGGAAAAAGAAAGTCATGAAACTGATTGTGAATTGATATGTGGTCAAAATCTTGAGTCAAAACCAGAAAAACAAGCTACTATACCGTTAGTATATAAAGGAGCGAAAATTGAATCAAACAATGTACCGTGGCATGTCGCTATCTTTGAAAAATATTCATCGAAATTTGAACAAATATGCGGTGGAAGTATCGTACATTCAAATGTTGTTATATCGGCAGCTCGTTGCTTTTATAACGTTGAAAAGTTTAAGGAAAAAGATTTATCAACATTTTCCGTTGGAGCTGGAAAACGTTTTTATGATTATGAAATAGAAGAACGGCATGAACAGTTTGCTGGTATTAATAAAATATATACTTTTGCATTGTAAGTTTTTACATATTATATTAAAATTTTTGTTTTAATTTCATTAATTGCATAACATTTATAAATGAAATTTATTTCTTTAGTTTCGAAGGAATTATTTTTAAGATCATTGAAATTGTACCCCCGGTGGACTTAGCGAATGTAAATGCTAGGAGCCTTGGCCAGTTTCTGAGAAAATCGGACTGGTTCGAATGAAGTAGAAAAAGACAGATCCGGCGATACCATAACAAGCATTTGAGCCTAAGTTCACCCATCGGGGGCACCTGCATACCTAACCTAACTAAACCTACCCCAGGCTTCCATATTGTAAAACAATCAGTTTTTAAACCACATATAGAGAGTATTGCAATTTAATTTTTTTCGTTAAATGTTACAATGTACGAAGTATTGTGTTTACATTATGGAACGAATTTGAAATTGAAATTGTAAACATCGCATATTTTGACATTTGCGTATGATTTTTATATTTAACAACTTATTTTACCAACCTTTTCATAATTGCGAACCGTATAACAGTTTATGGAGAATATAGCAAAAAAAGTTAATATTCATTCAATAATTTAGTAACGTTTAGTAACAACTTGTTTTAAATTTTGTATATGAACTTCCAACTCAGTGTCCTGAAAATCTCTAACATACACCACAATTTTAAATTTAAATTCTAGATATTATTTATTAAAATATGATCTTTATATTCATTTTAAATATTTATTCAACAGCTCACAGTATCCAATACAGAATGATATAGCAGTTATAGAACTTGATCGTCATTTACGGTACTCGTCTTTTATTGAGCCAGTGTGTATAGATTGGAATCCTTCCATAAACTTTCCTTCAAATTATAAAAATATCATTGGACATTTTTATGGTTGGGGTGCAACTTCATCGGATACACATTTTTCTCCAGAATTGCTGAGAATAAAATTGGAACCTATACCAAATGATGTATGTAAAAAAATGTCTCCGAGTTTTAAAGAACATATTACCCCTGATAGCTTTTGTGCTATAAACAAAGAAAATTCAACGACTTGTGCTGGTGATCCAGGTGGTGGTCTAGTATTTGAAAATGATAAAAAACTCGTAATTTTAATTGGAATTTCTAGTTTTGGAATCAATCTCGATTCCTATTGTTCCGATGGATCAATAGCTGTATTTACCGATATTAAATTTTATCAGCACTTCCTTAAGACCGCAATATCAAGAAGCAGAGATATAATGAGCAAGTTTATAATTGATTGATGATGTGAAATACGATAAAAATATGACAAATATTATACTAATGTATGTGTATATACATATGTAAGAAAGAATAATGATTTTTATTTATGATTTTCTCCTTAAGTGTTAAATTGCATATTTCATGTGTGAACTTAAGTTTAAATATTACCGTGTTAAATATTGAAACCTGTTAATAACTAAAATTTGAATTTTTAATAAAATTTCCTATGCAAGGAATTGTGGCGAGATTGATGGAGGGCAAATCAAACGTGTGCATAACTTTCGGTTCAAATATAATTAATAAATCACAATTGCTGGTAATTCTCTCACAAATTTTATTTAAATACGATATATTGGTATATTTCATCAAATCACATTAATATTTACTGTGTACCTATGAAGTGAGGCATTACAATCTTGTTAATGTGACTGATCTGCCTGTAAAAATAAATATATTTATATTATTACATAAAATTTACTTCATAAATTTTATTTATGCGTACAACTATAGTTATTTTATATATATATATGGTATATATGATATTAATACCCATACAAACGTATGTTCAAAGGATACAATAAATTTCTTACGCCATTTATAACGATTAGAGTTTCTGAATTGGCATTTAGACACAAATATATGTGATTTCCAAATCGATTTAGCCATGTCTGTTCATCTTTCCGTCCGTCACAGCGTTAAATCAAAAACTAATTAAATTGGTTTGCCAAATTTTGGCAAATAATTTATTGTAGTAAGTATACGGCAGACTTGTATTTCAAGTTGGATGTGATCGAGGTAATGATTCGGGTAACGGCCATACAACTTCGAAAATTATAAGACTATATCTCAGAAATTATAGCAGGTATAATATCGTAATTTTGTAAAAGCAAATATATTATTAAGGCTGTTATGTTATAAAACTTGTTGGAATTGTATATCTCCTTGCGCTAGCTGTCACACAATTTACAAAGTAACTTAGTCATTATCCAGAAACTATTGAAGCTACAGTACTGAAATTTTGCGAAAACGTAATAATATGCTATATTTGAAATTTCTTGACTTATCTTGTGATATTGATGTATCTTGTGGTATTTGATGTGTGGAATCATTCAACTTTAGCAATCATTCATTTGTGCGCGTAGCACAGACATGACACAGTCAGTTATACTTATTTTTGTTGTATTTTTAACAATAAGTACCTAATATTCCCTAAATATTACGTAACCACTTGTAATTATAATCATCTGTCCCTGTGTACATAATAAACATAAAATTTTATTTTTATTATCAACAATGGCGCATATTATTATAAATTAATTGTATTTTTAACTCTTGTTAAAATGTTATATTATGCGAGACTTAACTTCAATAATGTAGAATGGACTTTTCAATATGTATACATTATTTACTGAAGCATACTTAAGCATATTAAAATTAAGATTTAGATGAGTAAAAACAAGTTTTGTGCGCAATTCTAAATCTCTAAACTTACACAAACATTTGTGATTTTTTTATGTTTAATATTATGTAAGAATATTGGAATTATTGTATTATTATACATTAATGTATTAAAATATGAGTATTGTAATTGAAACAAAAAACAAAAAACAATATATAGAAAATCCAATTTATTAAAAACAAAAATAATAAATTGCACAAATTTGATAAAGTCGCAATCGTTTTTTTTCGAAAATTGAATTATTTTTCATTTTAATACAATCCGTCCTTCGGTTTATAAAAACATACACAACATTTTGTAATGATGTTTTTTTTAATATAAGCCAGTTCTGTTCCAATGTTTAAAAAAATGTTTGTTTGGTTCGCACAAATTATTACTGATAACTTCGGTGTAGTTCAACATAGATTTCATCTCGTTCCACCAACAGACACTAATTAGTTTAGAGGAAATTGATGTCCTATTATTTTTGCTCTTGTAATTATTTAGATCTAGGTAGATGCGTCAACATTTTTTATAGTAATGATAACATTATTTGCAATTAAAGCTCATTTTATTAAAAACTCTTTCTGAACATTGCAAATGGTACGGTGATATAGCTCGATAGTTTCTGGTTTCTAGTTTAAACTAAGCATGTGACAATTGTCGTAGATCGATAGTCTCAAGCGGTCTATATATGCAAGAATATTACTCTTTAGTGTAGTTATATGATAATTTTTTCTGTTTTCATTTGCAAATATCTTAAATTAGAGCAATACGAGGAAACAAATTAGTTTATTCAGAATTAAAAGAAAAAGTATGAAAAGTGCTTTTTTCAAATAGTCATTTCAAACATTTTGTGATTTTTGTTTATTATCATTTTATTATACCAATACTGTTTTGTTTATTACGAAAATAAACTTGTTTTGCTGGCATATCAAATTTTCTAAGAAATGATTGTGGTCAATGGTATTACCGATTTTTTTTTTTTTACATTTCAGTGTATAATCTACACAGCTTGTGAAAGGATTTTGATTATTAATTATTTATTTGTTATAGCAAATTAAAATATTTGAAATGAAATATTTTAAAATTTTATTTACGACAATATTTATTTTAATTTATTTATTACCTGTTTGTCTACCTTTTGAACGAAATTTGAATTCAGTTTATGAAGCTTTTAATAATGACGAGTGAGTAAGTGTAAATCTTATATATAAAAAAAAATAAATAAATTTTATTTTTTCGTTTTTTGTTCACTTAACAAAGTGTAGACCTCCGAAATGTGAAGTACCAGATGTTGATGGTAAAAAAATTGAAGTTTTATGTTTTAATGTTAAAGAATTAATTAGCGGACCATTGATTCATCATTTAGATGATGGTTATAGTTTAACTAATACTAAAAATTTTCAATTACATGAAGAACAATGTATTCGAAAAGCTGCTGTTATTATAATACGTTGTAAAATTGGTTATGAAAATATTAAATATGAATCAGATAATTATATGAATATTTGTATAAATGGTGAATGGGAATATGAAAAAAATGATAATAATGATTGTAAATTAATATGTGGCGAAAAAACTAAAATGGAAATTGAAAAACCAGTAACAAAACCATTAATATATCATGGAAAAATGGCTAAGTATGGTTCATCACCATGGCATGTTGCTATTTATAAAAATGTTTCAAATAATATTGAGCAAATATGCGGTGGGAGTATTATTCATTCTAATATTGTAATATCAGCTGGACACTGTTTTAGAGATATAAAAAATATAATTAAAAATAATGGTTTTTCAAAATATATAATTGGAGCTGGTAAACATATACGAGATTATAGTGATTACGAAGAAACAGAACAATTTCGTGATATAGAAGAAGTAAGGGTACCACCAACGTAAGTTTATATACATAATATATTAAAAAAAAAAAAATTACTTATTTAAAAAATTTCAAACCATAAATCCATTTAAGTTTTATCATTAAAAGTTATGAAAATAATTTTCTTTAAAATTCTTTATTTTTTATATTTTAATTTTGTATTAATTTTTTTTTTTTAAGATACCAAGAAAATCCATTACGAAGTGATATTGCAATTATAATTCTTAAAACTCATTTTAAATTTACATCATATATAAGTCCGGTATGTATGGATTGGGATGTATATAAACCAGAACCAATTAAAAAAGGATATTTAACACATCTATTTGGATGGGGTGCTACATCAGCTAAAAAATCAGAAGTTTCAAGTAGAAAATTACTTACAGCTGAACTTGAAACTATAACAAATGAAGAATGTAAACAAAAAATTGATAGAAATTCAAAATCAGAAATAACTGATGAGAGACTTTGTGCTGTTAATTTAAGTAATTCAACAGCATGCGAAGGTGATAGTGGCGGTGGACTTATTTTAGAAAGACATCATTTTAGTTTAATTGGTATTGTTAGTGTTGGATTAAATTTAAAAAATTATTGTTCAGATGGATTTATAACAGTATTTACAAATGTTCAATATTTTCATGATTTTATTAAAAGGATTATTACAGAGACGAGAAATAAAGAGTACAATATAATTGGCTTAAACTAAAAATTAAATTTAAATTAATTGATACTTGTGATTTTGTGTGAGTTTATTATTAAAAGGTTGTGATAATGAAAGAAAATATAATTGAACAAATTTTTGGGTATTATTTTATATTTTACATAAAAACTTACGAAAAATTCGAGATTTTGATAAATTTTTAAATATTTATTAAAATAAAGGAATAGTTTCTTTTTTAACTAGCATGAAATTTTGTTTCCATTATAATCGTTCGCTCAGATAACTGGACTAAAACCGGATAGCTAAATTGTACTCTTAACAATCGTAATATATTATCGTTATGTCACGTGACAAATCTATATTAATTAACATGTTTCCAAAATTATCTTGTTTTGCTAAAAAAAATTTTATACATATCGCACCCTTAGTGCAATAACGAAACATGTAAAAAAAAATAATTTTTGATTAAAGCCTACCATTTAAGAGAGCGAATTCATTCTCTTTATTTTTCTCTCAAAAATGATGGAATGTAAAAAAAAAATTAATATTTTTTTAACAACTTCTTTGTGAGTACTCCATAAATTTTCTTTTTAGAAATTTTTCTAAAGAGAAAATCTTCTCTTTAAGATCTTTCGTTCATCCACTACTGTAAAATTAATGAAATTTGTATTAAATTTAGAATACTACTTACTGCCCTATTGTTCTTCACCCGTCTGTCCGTTCGTGCGTCTAATACAAAATTTAAATTTAATAACGGAATTCATTGATCATTGTAAAAAGCTTATCTCTCTATTAGAAAGTTTTTACTTGTCCTTTAAAGTTTGTACATACGTTTTATCAAATAAAAAAATTTAACGAAGAAATCACAAATAGGAAAACTTCAACTTTTGAAAAATAATTTCTTCAAAACCTACAAGTCTTACTACTGCAAAGGCAAAAAAGTATAACTCAATGTTTTCTCATAAAAAAATATAAATAATCGAAATAAATTCCGAATCAACCATATAATTTCGTCAGTATGTTAATTTTCTTTTTTACAAATTTTTGATTGCCTAAATAAGACGTCATCCAATATCATCCGATATTAAAATTAAATAACGTAAATAGAATATCGATTCTAAAAGCAAAAGTGTTTTCACAAAAATTTAAAACGAGAGTCTGAAAAAGTGATGCCATTACTTAAAATACATTAAAAGTGTTGTTTTGCTTATCCTATGTAACAAGAAAATATGCTGTGATAGGTACATACTTAATCTGTACTGTTTATACCCGTACAAACGTATGTTCGAAGGGTATACTAAATTTTCCTAACCATTTGTAATGCTAAAAAATAACGGTCTGAGATATAGACTCAAGTGTATGTTTTTGATCAGCATCGAATTCTGAGTCGGTTTAGCTTTATCTGACCGTCCGTTCAGATAAATTTAACAAATGATTTATTATAGTTAGTCCCAGAACCCTATTTAAATTGGATATGATCGGGGTAGTGGCAAGAGTAGCTGCCATATAACTTCAACATTCATTTGGCTATATCTCAGAAACTATAAAAGCTCTGGTATTGTTATTTCACCGAAGCAAATATATTAATAGGGCTAATGTGTTCGATAAGAGTCGCTGAAATTTCTTGGCTCCTTCTGGTACCTGTCATACAACTTCAACAGTAGTTTGGCCAAATTTAAGAAAATATTGAAAACACAGTACTGAAATTTTGCATCAATAAATATGGTAACATGACAAATTAAAGTGTTATGGTCAGATATGATATATTTATTCGCACATAGGATAACAAATTTGTACGGGTATCAAAGAGTTGACACGGTCAACTGTATTTTTTCTCGTTTTCTCATTTTTTTTTATAAAAATGAAAAGCTTTCTTAGAAGCTTGGGATTTCAATTGCAAACTTGTTTGCGTAAAATAATTTTCAGATTGAAAATAAACTCTTGGAAATTTAGTTATTAAAAAAATTTCAGAGTGTTAAGTTAGAATAGTATAAATTTGTATGATGTTCAAAAATTATTATTGTTTTATTGGTTTCTTAAAAATCGCAATATTAATTTTAGTAACACTCTCATCAAAAGTGTTTATTGATGGTTGTATTGTACCAAATGTTGATCAAAATAAAGTCGAAGTAAAGTGCTATACTATTCAAACAGTTACAACAGGTGTATCAAGAGCGGGAAGTGCTGCTGTAAGTAAATTAGTGGAGGATTCTTGTTTTCAAGATGTTGGGGCTATTGTTATACGTTGTAAAATTGGATTTGAAAATAAAAATTCAAAAGGAGAAGACGCTGTTTTGAATACGTGCAAAAATGGAAAATGGAAATATGAAAATACAACTAGCGATGATTGTGAATCTATATGTGGAAAATTATTTAAAGAAGAACTAAAACCAACTACTACACCATTATTATATAAAGGGAATGAAGTTGATATAAGGGTAGCACCATGGCACGTTGCCGTTTATAAAAATAATTCATATAAATTTGATCAAATATGTGGTGGAACAATTATTCATTCAAATATTGTTGTATCAGCAGCTCATTGTTTTTATGATGAAGCATATGGTAAACTATACGATTCATCGAATTTTTGGATTGGAGCTGGTAAACGTTACCGACAATACGAAGCAGAAGAACAGTTATCGCAATTCGCTCGTATTAACCATATATATCTACCACCAACGTAAGTTTAATTTTATTATAATATTTAATGGTAACTATTAAATTTAGTAGATATTTGTGCCAAGTTTTACTTAAATTACAGAAACCCATGTTATAAACTAAAATTATAGATTAATTTTTAATACGAAATATTAGTTTAACATTTAAAAATTTGAGTAAAATAATTTTACTAATTGCTTTCAAAATTATTTTCAGATTTCAAGCACAACCATTACGGAGTGACATAGCAGCTTTAAAATTAGACCGTCACTTTACATATAGTCCTGTTATAGCACCAGTTTGTTTAGATTGGAATTTAAATCTAATTTATGGAAGCTACAATGGTATTATTGGGCATCTTTATGGATGGGGTGATACATCCTCTAAAGGGGTTCCAAGTGAAAAGTTATTAAAACTTGATTTAATAACTATACCAAATGATTATTGCCGCGACAAGATTGATCGAAATTTTAGATCAGATGTTTCTGGTGATAGATTTTGTGCTATAAATGAAGAGAATGGAACTGCATGTGGTGGAGACAGTGGCAGCGGTTTGATAACTTACAGACAAGGTTATAAATTAAGTGGTGTTGTAAGTGCTGGTCTTAATAGAAACAATTATTGCACTGACGGATTTGTAACTTTGTTTACAAATGTACGAATTTTTCAAGATTTCCTTAAAACTGTAGTTTCTAATAGTCGAGATGAAGAACAAGATTTGGAGACCTTCTTAAGTTTATATTGATTAAAAGTCAATATATAAAGCCATTATTGACCAATAAAAAACCAGTAAAAAAAATTCAAAATAAATTTAAGCAAATTTAAAATAAGTATAATTAAATGCAATTTTTTATTAACAAAAAACTCCACTAAATTAATAAATATTTCAATTTGAAGACTATTGAAGTTTGTATTAAGTTATTAGGAACACAATATGTTCATAACCAGTTCGTCAGCGTGTAGTTTTTAGCACTTTTCCAAAAATTTTTTGTACTTTTAGTACTTTTTTTGTTTACAAAACTTCTACACCTTTGAAGATAGAAAGCTGAAATTTAATACGTACATAGATCTTTACTGGAAACTTATTTCCGTAGAACAAAATTTTTACCTATCTCCCCCCTCTAGAAGTTATACTCCCCAGAAACTCTAAAAATGACCTTTTTTAACTATTACAATGTTACAATGAAACCATAAGCATTTTTGAAATTTTGCAAACGCATAAGGGTATTGACTTGCTTTCCCTAGCGTGGTATACTATAGTTAAACTTTAGAAAACCAAAATGGCCGTTCAAATTAACCGTTATCTAAAGTCCTTTTTTTCCAAATTTTTGATTTCGTTTTTCTTCTAGACCCCAGCCTGTAGAAGCTTGAAATTTTAGAAGCTTTTAGACATTAACAAAAAGTTTATTTCGTTAGAAAAAATTTTTTTTCCATCTACACCCCCTCTCAAGTTATCGCCTCTTGAAATTTGTAAAATTTCAATTTTTGATACCTTATATTTCCGAAACCGTAAGCTTTTTCAAATTTCTATACATGACTCCACTTTATATTAATTTTTGCTTTATTTCAAAGACTGCATAAATCGTTCATCCTAAATATATGCAATCCTAGAAATAGTTGTGTCTATGAATGAAAATAATTTTAATAGTGTGATAGGTATACATAGACTGTATTTAAAAGCAGAATTTTCACTTGTTGAAGGGAAAAGTGCTACAATACAAACCATTGGTTTGACCCAACTTTATTATCGGTATAAATAATAATATTTTTATATGTATACTTGTATTTGTGTTTAAAATTGTTACCTCAGAAGGAGAAAAATCAACCTAAACTTGCAATTTCAAAATCAATTGTTATTTGGATTTTCTGAAAATAAAAGTTAAAATCTGGGGACAAAATCTTTCTTTAAAATACGTTAGGAATGGAAGAAATTATGATATCCAAAATATAATTACAGAATCTATATCACTTTATCTGGAAAAGGATAGTTAACTTAGTTTTTGGACAATACTATTGTCTTTATGAGATTTATCAAATTTATATTGTTTCTTTTGTTTTCAAAATTCTTAAAAAAGCATTTGTATTCGAGTGTACATTTCCCTCTGTAGCATTATCGTATAATATAAAATGGTAATAGTATATTAAAAAATTATCCATTTTAATCTTGTATTAAAACATGTCTTATATACATATGTTAACACATATCCTTTAATAAATATTTTGCTGTTTATTGAAAACCTGTTTCTTAATAGTATAAATTTTTATTAAATCGAAAAGTTTTAAATATAGATTAAAAGAGCTCTTAAAGTTAATTAGTAACAAAAGAATTTTAGTCAAGTGAAGTTTTGATTGACTATTCAAACAAAAAAAAAATTATTGATGACTTTAATTGCTAAAAGTTTTAAAATCAATTTAGTGGCAACAATATTTGTTCTATTGAATTTGTTGCAAGATGCTCGATGTGAAAAGTGTCAACCACCGGAAATTGATCAAGAAAAAGTTGAAGTTTTATGTTTTAACCTTAAAACTTTATCAACCGGTCTTATAGATAATGGAGATGGAAATTTTAAAAGTTCAGTTTATTTTGATTATTTAGAAGATCCATGTAGTCAAAACTCTGAAGCTATAGTGATACGTTGTAAAATTGGTTATCAAAATAAAAAATCCAAAGGGCAAGATGCTCTTTTGAATTTATGCGCAGATGGAAAATGGAAATATGAAAACACAGATAGTGATGATTGTGATTCAATATGTGGCAAATTATTTGAAGAAGAATTGAAATCAACCCCCAAACCACTATTGTATCAAGGTAATGAAGTCGATATAAAGCTTGCGCCATGGCATGTTGCCATTTACAGAAATTCTTCAAATACATTTGAGCAAATATGTGGTGGAACAATTATTCATTCAAATATTGTTGTATCAGCAGCTCATTGTTTTTATGATGTATCATATGGGGAATTATTTGATGCATCACGTTTTTGGGTTGGAGCTGGCAAACGCTTCCGTCGATACGAAGCAGATGAACCATTAGCACAATTTGCCCATGTCAAAAAAATAGATTTGCCATTAACGTAAGTTTATTACTCTTAAGCAATTATAACTATCCAATATCAGTGTTTTTTTTGAAAAATAATGCGAAATATCAAAAATTATGAACCTAGATAAAGTTAAAAATAGAAACAACTAAATAATTTTAAAATTAAAAACAAAATATTCAATGAAGTTTATAACACTTGAGAACAAGAATTGTTTCAAACCCGTTTCTGGTTTTTTTTTCTTTTTTTCAGATTTCAATCACGACCATTAAGAAGCGATATTGCAATTTTAATTCTTGATCGTCATTTTAAATATAATCCTGTTATAGCACCTGTTTGCTTAGATTGGGAGCTAGGTCCTAATTCAAGACATTCTAATCTTGCTGCCACACTTTATGGATGGGGAGATACAAAATCGACAGGAGCTCCAAGTGAAAAGTTATTAGAAATTAATTTAATTGCTATGGAAAATGATGAATGTAAAACAATAGTTGATCCCAACTTCAGGTCAGATATTTCCAGTGATAAATTTTGTGCTATAAATAAAAATAATGCAACCGCATGTGGGGGAGACAGTGGTGGTGGTTTGATAACTATGAGAGATGGTTATAAATTAACTGGTGTTGTCAGTGAGGGTCTCAATACAGATAGTTATTGTTCTAATGGATTTGTAACATTGTTTACAAAGGTACGAATTTTCCATGATTATATAAAAGCTACAGTCGCTGAAAGCCGAAATGAAGATCAAGCTGTTAGAAAGCAATTCTATTCTTTCCAAGGCTTACAATAAACTAAGAGTTCATGCCAATACAAAAAAAGAAAAAAAAAATATTTCTGTTCAAAATAATAAAAATTTGTATTTTTTTTAAATGCCCAAATAACTTTTTATTAGCAGAATACCCAACTTATTCTGTATCTTACAACATCCGCAGAATAATTGCGGAAACTTATAAAAATGTGTTTTATGTGAATATTACATTTATAAATTCGAAAACTTTAAAAATTCAAAGAATTGAATTGGACACGGAGGTTTGGACCTTTCGAATAATTTGCTTGCTTTAGGCTGCACTACATTTATTTGATTCGAAAAATTAATATAACTTAATGGCTAAAAAGCTACATTTGAAGTTTATTTTCTGAATTCAAACTTTTCGAAACTTTTAAGTTCTATAAAATGCTACATCTCACGCCTGAGATTCTGTTATTTATTTTAATTTAATGATAACAAAAGAAGAAAATACAGTATGAATATAAACAACTAACGTTTATCTGAACTTCCTCAATACGTGTATGTATGGAGCTGTAACAAGATGTAAGCTCTTATAAAAATTACTACACACAAAACTTCTATGAATTTTTATCTGAAAATGTTTATCTTAGTTTTCAAACTATTCAAGTAGCCTTTAGATTTGAAAATTATCAAATCTATATCATCTAATTTTCTCTTAAAATTTCTTTCAAAAACTGTGTGTATTGAAGTTAACAACTTCATAAAAATTCTACTTGAAAAGCATCTCCTAAAAATATTATAATGTTTCTTGAAAACCTGTTTTCAACAGAAACTTTACAGTAAATGAAAAAGCTTTTAACTCATTATTGAAAGATTCTCTGAATATTGATTAGTAGTAAAAACTTTTTAGTCAAGTGAAGTTTTGATTGGCTCTGGAACGAAAAGAAAATTGTTTTTTTTTTTTACAATGATTTGGAATAGTAACAATTTTATAACCAGTTTGATTATAGCGATATCAGTTTTAATAAATTTGTTGCAAGATGTTCGATGTGAAAAGTGTCAAGCACCGGAAATTGATCAAGAAAAAGTTGAAGTTTTATGTCTTAATCTTAAAAAATTATCAACCGGAATTATAGATAATGGAGATGGAACAATCAAAAGTGCAACTTATTTTGACTATTTAGAGGATTCGTGTAGTCAAAGTTCTGAAGCAATTGTGATACGTTGTAAAATTGGTTATCAAAATAAAAAATCGAAGGGAGAAGATGCTTTTTTGAACTTATGTAAAGATGGAAAATGGAAATATGAAAACACTGATAGTGATGATTGTGAATCCATATGTGGCAAATTATTTGAAGAAAAATTGAAACCAACTCCAAAGCCACTTTTGTACCAAGGCAATGAAGTAGATATAAAACTTGCACCGTGGCATGTCGCCATTTATAGAAATTCTTCAAATACATTTGAGCAAATATGTGGTGGAACGATTATACATTCAAATGTAGTTATATCAGCAGCTCACTGTTTTTATGATACATCATATGGTGAATTATTTGATGCATCGCATTTTTGGGTTGGAGCTGGAAAACGTTTTCGTCGATATGAAGCAGATGAACCATTAGCTCAATTTGCTCATGTCAAAAAAATATATTTGCCATTGACGTAAGTTTATTTTGTTCTTCGAACAGAAATAATAATTATTCAATGAAATTTTTTCGTAAAAAATAATGAGAAATTTCAATATGTAAAGAAAGTTAAATGTAGCTAAAACAATTTTAAAATTTTTAATGCTTGATAACTTTAGCACAATTTCAATTTTATTTGCCATTTTTTTTTTAGATTTCAATCGCAACCATTAAGAAGCGATATTGCAATTGTAATTCTTGATCGCCATTTTAAATATAATCCTGTTATAGCACCTGTTTGTTTAGATTGGGAGCTAGGTCCTGATTCAAGACATTCTAATCTTGCTGCCACACTTTATGGATGGGGAGATACAAAATCGACAGGAGCTCCAAGTGAAAAGTTATTAGAAATTAATTTAATTGCTATGGAAAATGCTGAATGTAAAAAAATGGTTGATCCAAACTTTAGGTCAGATATTTCCAAAGATAAATTTTGTGCTATAAATAAAAGTAATGCAACTGCATGTGGTGGAGATAGTGGAGGTGGTTTAATAACTAGGAGGCAAGGCTACAAATTAACTGGTGTTGTTAGCGAGGGTCTTAATGCAGATAGTTATTGTTCTAATGGTTTTGTTACATTATTTACACGAGTACGAATTTTTCACGATTATATAAAAACTACAGTCTCTGAAAACCGAAATGATGAACAGAATATTAAAATACAGTTATATAATTTCAAAGACAACTTTAATTAAGACAAAAGAAATTGAATTGTAATTTTTGTGCAAAATAACATAATACTCGTATTGTATTTTCTTCAATAATTTGAAAAAGAAGTGAAATATCTACGAAATCTTATAATGTTGTTTCTTATAGGAATAAATTGTTAATTAATTAATAAACCAGTCAATTTTTTGTTTTTGCTGATTAAAAATGCATAATAAAGATGACTTGTCACTGGAGATTGAATACGTGTGTTGAATATTTAAATATTAGATTGAATATTTAGTTGGGATATTTTTCTAAATAAAATTCTTATTCTATTTTTTGTGGCTCAAAATGATTTTGCTCAATTCATGTAATAATTTCCGATCATTATGAATTGAATTTTAATCTTCATTAGTAATTTATTTAAAATTTTGTTACAAGCTATATGAAAATTATTATAAGTTTTTCATTAGAATAATAATAGAACTTTTATTATCAATTTTTAATTAAGTACTTTGCATAAGTAAATTAGTCATATGGAACTCCTGTTTTTACCACTTCTCCAAATAATTTGTGAAAAAAAGTGCTTATTAGTTTCACTTTGTCCGTCTGTCCGTCCGTGGACATGTTTACAAAACTTCTACACCCTTGAAGATAGAAAGCTGAAATTTAATATGTACATAGATCTTTACTAGAAAGTTATTTCTGTAGAAGAAAATTTTTACCTACCTCTCCCTCTTTAGAAGTTATACCCTCCCTAAAACCCTAAAAATGCCATTTTTTAACTATTTATTGCAGTGAAATCAAAAGCATTTTTCAAATTTTGCAAACGCAGAAAGGCAGTGGCTTGTTTCTTTTACCGAGACATACTATAGTTAAATCTTAAAAAAACAAAATGGCCAAACGTTCAAATTTACCGTTATCTAAAATCCGTTTTTCCAAATTTTTGATGTCGTTCCTCTTCTATACCACAGATTGTAAAAATCTGTTACACAACAAATAAATAGTTCATTTCGTTAGAAGGAAATTTTTTTCCATCTCCTCTCTCTTTCAAGCAATCGCGTCTTGAAATTTGTAAAATTTAATTTTTTGACGCCTTATATTTCCGAAACCGCAGGCTTTTTCAAATTGATATAAACTCAAAAAGCTAACGGTAAACTCCATGACATTAAAAAATATAATTATTTTTCTTAACTCACGCAATTAACCCTTAAAATCGAGCATTATGTTAACCCATCTTTTAAGACTGCATATATGCAACATCCTAAATATATGCAATCATAGAATTAGTTTTGTATATGAATGAAAATAATTTTAATAGTGTGATAGGTATATATAGACTGTTTTTAAAAGCAGTATTTTTACTTGTTGAATGGAAAAGTGCTACAATACAAACTATTGGTTTGACCCAACTTTATTAATCATTGGCATTTGAAAACAGGTTGATAGGAAAATTCATGAGAAACACATTTAATTTTATGTTTTCGTTTTAGCTTTGTAATTAATTTATAAAATGAGTCAAAACGAAAGTTTTACTTCAAATCTGTTGAGATTAGAAGAACCTATTATCATTGATTAACACTAATAGAAGCTTTTTTTTCAAATATTGAATGTAAATATTTTCATTATTGATAAGAGATGTTGATTTAATAGAGAATAGATTGAACTGGTTCAGTTAAAGCTCACTTCTCATATAGGTTAAAGTTGTTGTTCTCAAAAACGATACTCATTTTATATGAAGAGATCTAAACCAAACTATTTAATGTGCGTTTGTTTACAAATTAGTATTGATTTTGTGTGTATTCTTAAAAAATTTCTAAAATTTCCGAGCTTTAGTGATAGTTTATAATTAAGTTTGTAGTGGTAGTTTTGCTTACAAAATCTGTTGAATAAGAGTTTTTAAAATTTTTATTCTTACGATTGCCAAATATTAAAAAAGAAAATGTAAATTTTTTTAAATTATCTTGGATTTAGCAGCAAAAACATAAGCATATTTTCTAACATTCTAAATTTTTAAAACGCTTTCTCAAAAAAATTTTTTTTTCACATGGAGTTCTCCATAAACTATAGAATTTCATAACATCTGTTCTTCTGCAATTTTTAAAATATTTTTCTTACTAACAAATACCAACATAATTTTCAGTTTAGGGATAAATTTATTTACATATTAATTAGCACTTTTCCAAAAAATTTTTGAAAAAAAGTGCTTATTAGTTTCACTCTGTCCGTCCGTTCGTCCGTCTGTCCGTGTGTCTGTTTGCAAAACTTCTACACCCTTGAAGATAGAAAGCTGAAATTTAGTACGTACATAGATTTTTACTAGAAACTTATTTCCGTAGAACAAAATTTTTACCGATCTCCCCCCCTCTAGAAGTTATACCCCACAAAACCCTAAAAATGGCGTTTTTTAACTATTTGTTGCAATAAAATCATAAGTATTTTTGAAATTTTGCAAACGCAGAAAGGCAGCGGCTTGCTTCTCTAGCGCGATATACTATAGTTTAACTTTATAAAAACAAAATGGCCGTCTAAATTTACCGTTATTTAAAGTCCTTTTGATGTCGTTTTTCTTTTAGACCCCAGCCTGTAGAAGCTTGAAATTTTAGGGGCTTTTAGACATTAACAAATAGTTAATTTCGTTAGAAGAAAATTTTTTTCCATCTATACCCCCTCTCAAGTTATCGCCTCTTGAAATTTGTAAAATTCGAATTTTTGACACCTTATATTTCCGAAACCGCAAGTTTTTTCAAATTTCTATAAACACAAAAAGCTAACGGTAAATTCCATAACATTAAAAACTATAATTATTTTTCTTAACTCGCACAATTAACCCTTATAATCGAGCATTATGTTAACCCCACTTTATATTAAGTTTTGCTTTATTTCAAAGACTGCATTAATCGTTCATCCTAAGTATATGCAATCCTAGAAATAGTTTTGTATATGAATGAAAATAATTTTAATAGTGTGATAGGTATACATACTCGTAGACTGTATTTAAAAGCAGAATTTTCACTTCACACGGGAAAAGTGCTACAATACAAACCATTGGTTTGACCCAACTTTATTTTTGTATTCCTTAAGAAGTTGCTATTTAAAATTATTAAAGATAATGGTAAATGAGCTCAGAATATGTTAAAATTGAACTTATAATCATTAAAAAAATCGAATGAATATTTAAATCACGTAAAATGTATTATCCTTTTTTTTAAAGATATCTTATTTTTTTTATGAATAAAAATTTACAAACATCGGATGAATTAATTAAATGGATAAATTATGAAATACAACAATGTTTTATGAACGTTGAGAATGTAAAAAAAGAAAATTTAAAACAAAAAAATTTTCTTTACTTTGTCCTTAAAATTTTAGGTAATGAATTTGATCTTTTGAATAAAAGAGGCAACAAAATGATAATCCTTTGAAATCTTTTAAAATTACTTGCAAGAATGCATGCACCTGTCTACTATTTCATTCTTGAAAAAGAAAAAATATGGAGCTGAATTTAATAGAAGTTGACTATAAATTGACTCATCTTAAAATGAAATCATGCTATTACGGAAATAATTTTACTCAATAGATTTGCCATATTCAAATTTTAAATACTGCACTGTAGTCGGCATTCTAAATCAAGAATATAGATATTACACTACTGTGAAAGAAATCGCTAATAGTCTACTTAAATTAATCCTGAATTAACTTCCATAATTGAAACCATATTTATATTACTATATGTAGCAGATAATTAAGATTTCGTATGGCAGCATTATAAAAAAATTAATTCATAATCATTATTGTATGGAACCATGAAAGTATTACTACTATTTAAATATTGAGCATTGTTTCTAAATATATTCTCATTTAGAAAAGAAAATGAGATAATTTAATTTTATAATTCATATTCCATTACCTGTTTGCCGAAATTTTTTGAGAATAGTAATACTTTTTCGAAATTGTTTTACATAAACTTTGAATAATGACCAGTTTTAAAAGTTTTCGACATGTTTAATTACAATTCCGAAATATTTATTTTACTGGTAAAGATTGAAGACTAGATTATTTACACTAAAATTTTTGGAAAAAGTCATATGAAATTATTGTTGACTGAAATTAAAAAAATTGGTCCGAATAACTCATTCTGAGATCGGAGATTGATTTCGGAAAAATTTATATCATAATAAAGCTTCTATATGAAATTTTGTGAATTTAAAGTTGCATTTCCTTTCACTGTCCGAAACTTCAAACAAAATAATTTGCATACTTATAACTATGTAAACACAGGAGAAGTTTTTGATTTCCTCTTATGTACCGGTTACCGATGGACTGACATTTCAATTCGAAATTAAATTCATATTCGTAAATATTGTCCGAATGTGTTCGGACACTGAGTGGAAACATACCTCAGCTCAGTTTTTGCTTATTATCGTCGGGAAAAATAGCTGGAACCCTGATAACAAAATCCATTAAATATTTTAAATATTAGTTTGTACGGGTATCATAGTTATCATACTTAAAAATAAAAACTCATTGAAAAGCATAGAAATAATCTGATAAATAGTTTAACATCTCTTTTTTTTATACCCGTACGAACGTATGTTCGAAGGGTATACTAAATTTGCCTTACCGTTTGTAACGCTGAGAAATAACGGTCTTAGATATAGACTAAAGTGTATGTTTTTGATCAGCGTCGAATTCTGAGTTGATTTAGCTTTGTCTGTCCGTCCGTCCGTCCGTCCGAACGATAACTCAAAAACTAATTGAGCTAAGTTCACCAAATTTTCACAAATGATTTATTGTAGTAAGTGCCAGAACCCTATTTAAATTGGACATGATCGGAGTACCGGTTCGGGTAGCTGCCATACAATTTCAAAATTTATTTAGCTATATCTCAGAAACTATAAAAGTTGTGGTATTGAAATTTCACACGAACGAATATATTACTAGGGCCAATGTGTCTCATAAAATTCGTTGAAATTACTTGGCTCCTTCTGGTACCTGCCGTACAACTTCAAAAGTTATTTGGCTATATCTCAGGAACTACAAAAGCTATGGTATTGAAATTTCACACAAGCGAATATATTAATAGGGCCGATGTGCTTGATAAAATTCGTTAAAATTTCTTGGCTCTTTCTGGTAGCTGCCGTACAACTTCAATAGTAGTTCGGCATACACAGTATTTTGAGAAACACAGTACTAAAATTTTGCATAAATTAATATTGTAATACGGCAACTTGAAGTCATTGTCTGTCCCATAGTCAGTT